ACGGGTGTGTTTCGATCTGTCATTGTCAATCGTGAATTTGGTTGACACTTCTATTATAAAGAGTGAATAGCGATATTAAAATATTTCTTCTAATTAATTTCCTTTCAATGTGCACGGATCCGTGCACTGGGCCACTAGTAGTATTATAATTTTATGAATGCATATATTTATGTTTAATATATTTAAGCTTCTTAATTTTCTTTAATTTACAGCATAAATTAGCTAAGTCTACACCTAACCCACATCAAAAAAAAAAAAAAAAGGAGATATGAGGGTGTTTCTTCTGCATCACCTCTAACTTCCTATTACCTCTAGTATCTTGCTTTTGGTTTACATCTAAGTATATAGCGATCAGTATCTTGAAATGCAAAAATTTTTACATATGTGGCTTTAATTAGAACTTTTGTAGCCTGGTTAATATGGTTTCTTGCAGTGTATTTATTGTAACAAAATCTCACTAAGATAATGGTTTTTATAGAAGTAGGTTAAAATATAATTTTAACTTTATCTTAACTGCCTTATATCCTTTTGAGTATAGATGGTATAATGATGAATGAGTATTTTACATATCATACCAATTTAATTTTAAAACCCAGATGAACACTTTTTAAATTGATAGACATACCTTTGTCTTTTCTGTGTGTGTGTGTGTTTATAGGGATAATTGCAGTTGTAAGAAATTGCAGTTGTACACTTTGCCTGGGTTCCCCAAATGACACTTTGTAGAACTATTACTCTACAACGTTATATCCAGAATATTGACATTGTGCAATTCACTGCTTTTTCAGATGTCTTCAATTTTACTTGTATTCTTTTGTGTGTGTGTGTAATTCTATACTTTTACTCTTGTTTGTATGCTTCTATATCTGCCACTTCAGTCAAGATACTGAATACTTCCTTATCACAAGGGTCCCTGCTTCTCTCCCAGTACTTTTATTTTTCCTCCCTTATCTCTAACCCCTGGCAACCACTAATCTTCCATCATTTCTAAAATGTTGTCATTTCAAAAATGTTAAATAAATGAAATCATGTATTTGAGATTGACTGTTTTCACTTAGTATAATTCCCTGGACATTCATCCAATGTTGTGTGAGTAAATCTATATATAAAAAGCTAATATGTAAATTGTCCCCATGGGAGTTTGACGGGAGACTAATCACTTGCTATGACGTGTGATGACCACCAGGGGGTGGCGTGGAATGAAGGAAGGCCCCAGCCGGCAGCTGGGGAAGGGAGGCCGTGGCCGGCCCTGATCTCTGGCCACGCCTGGGGACACTACCCATGCATGAATTTCGTGCACCATGCCTCTAGTAGTTTATAATTGCTTTTTGTTATATATATTTTATATTTTAGTTGGAAAACTCCTGACTGTTTTAAAACTTAGGTTCTACTTTTTTTCTTCTTTCATCTATTTTTAAAATAAATATATTTGCCTTAAATTTAGGTGACAAAACACGACCGCCTTCCTCAAGCCCCTCTACTATTATTCGCCGCACTTCCTCTCTGGATACACTTGCTGCTCCATACCTTGCAGGGCACTGGCCTCGTGATAATCATGGTCAAACTGCTCCTTGCATGAAGGACAAAGCTACACAGGTAGGTGTATTACAGGTCTTATCCTGAAGTGTTTTATTCTGAGACTGTTTCTCATAATTTTTATTTTCATTTCTCATAATTACTTGTTTTGGTCTGTGATCAAATTCTTAAAACATCCTCATATCTTAGAATAATCTGAAGCTTATCAAAAGAGCAGATTCCCAGGCCTGATCTCCAGATATTCCAGTGATGGCGAACCTATGACACGCGTGTCAGGAGTGACACGCGAACTCATTTTTTTGGTTGATTTTTCTTTGTTAAATGGCATTTAAATATATAAAATAAATATCAAAAATATAAGTCTTTGTTTTACTATGGTTGCAAATATCAAGAAATTTCTATATGTGACACGGCACTGGAGTTAAGTTAGGGTTTTTCAAAATGCTGACATGCCGAGCTCAAAAGGTTCTCCATCACTGAGATATTCTGTAGTAGATTTTGGTTGAGGCTTGAGAATGTACATTTTAAAGATTTCCCCCTACTGGTCTTAAACGGAATTTTTCATATATTGCTACCTCTGAAATACTATCACCGGCTAACTGCTTTTTGTTTATTAACAAAAGTTTTTCTACCTTTTCAATTGCCTATGGTTGTTGTTTTGTGAGCACTTTCACACCCTTTGTAACATTAGCACTCTCGATGGCCTTTTTATGTTTTAAAAGCATTCTCTCCTTTGTTGCCTGAGAGATGCTTCTTATCATGCATGAATGGGCTGTCACGTTGAAAACTGAAGTTTTGTTCCACAACCAAGATGTTTTTTCCGTGAACAACGTGGTCAAGAATGGAATTGTTCTAGATGGGAGACGTTTGACTGAATTCTATTACTTATTCTTCATTTCTGAGTGGTTCTTTTATGTGGTTTCTGTGTCCTTTTTGATGCTTATATCTTTTTGTTTAAAGTCTCACTGGGATATCCATTCTTCCCCTAAGGTCTAGAGCATCTTTAAAACCATTGTCTTAAATTCTGCCTCTGGTATTTTGATTGCTTCATTTAATTTAATTCTTTGGGTATTTTTCTTACTCTTTAACTTGGGACATATTTATTTATTTCCCCATTTTGTCTCTGAGTATTAAGTAGATCGGGTACAACTCCCAAACTTGTTATGGTGGCTTTATGATGAAGGTGTTGGGCTCAGTGGCAAAACCTTCCAGAGCACCTGAGCTCCGTGCTCCAGGAATATTTCTTGTTTGTTATGTGCACCCTCCTGTTGTAGTTTAGTTTTGAATGCTGTTGAGCCTTTTGTGGGTGGACTTAACCCTTCAGGCTGGCTGACTGTAAGGATAAACCTCAATCACTGTGTGAGGTGTTGTGCAGGGGCTGTCCCCTAAGGTGAAGTTGTTTCCAGCAGGGCCTAGTGCCTACCAGAATTCCCTTTTGGGTGTGCCAATTGTTTGGCTAGTTGGGTTGAGCTCTGGTATGGTCTGAAGTCCACCACTGGTTTTGTTGGTTCTGAGCCCACTTGGGTGGGGTTCATGTCAGATGTTATGCTTAACCAGCATTGGGCTACCTGTCTGGAGCTACTATGGTTTTCACCTTTGTGGCTGCATCTCCTTGGCCTGGGTGTTTGTGGGAGAAGCCAGTCTATATATATAAAAGCCTAATATGCAAACTGTCCCCACAGGAGTTCAACCAGGAGACCAGTCGCTTGCTATGACATGTGCTGACTACTAGGGGGTGGCACAGAATGAAGGAAGGCCCTGGCCAGCAGCCAGCAACTGGGGAAGGGAGGCCCCGGACAGCAGCTGGAAGGCCCCCATCGGCCCTGATTGCCGGCCAGGCTTAGGTACCCTACCTGTGCACGAATTTCATGCACCGGGCCTCTAGTCTGTGTATAAGGATCAGTTTCCTTCAACTTTGAGCTGGGGGCATGTAAGAGGACAGGTTCTCTGAGGTCCACCTCTCCTTGTCAGCTATTCCACCTCTCCCTGGGGTTGCCTAATCTTCCTCCAGAGTCTTCTGAAGAATGGTTGGAGATTGTGCCCAGGCTGGCCGCAACCCACAGCCCCTTCCACAAGTTGCAAGCTTGGTAGGGGTGGGTAACCAGAGCTAGTGGGTCCCCTCTTGGAGGTCATGTGGTCAGGCACTCAATGAGAGGAAAAGTGGTCTCTACTCCAGAGCCAAACCACTCAGTCTCTGCCAGAGTCTCCAACTCTGGTTCACCCAGGAGGGGCACGCTGCAGGTTTAAGTTGGGTGCAGCCAGCCATCCTCTCTGCATGAGTCAGCTCTGCTGGGCAGAGCCATTGGACTCAGGAGGACCGATCAAGAGTCTCCCGTTGGGATTGATGCTGGCCCAGCTCGCAGGAATGGGCTAAGTACTTTTTCCTGGTCGCAGACAGTAGCCTCTGAGGGACTCACACTCTAATATCCCAGCTCTGAGCAGCTCTCCCTTCCCTCTGCAGAACTGAGCTCAGCTAGGTTTGGTGTCTGGGACTTGGAAGGGCAGATCCAAACAGACTCCCATTGGGGGGTGGTGCCTGCAAGCCTGTAGTAGGGGGGCAGGCACTTCTTCCCCTTCTTGGGGAGGGTGTGGTGAGTTTGCAGAGAAGATAAGTGGGGCTTCCTGTTGATATAGCTACACAGACCAGTACCCAACCTTCTAATTCTTAAACAAAAGCTTCCCTGGGAGCCCTGGCCTGGTGGCTTAGTTTGTTGGAGCGTTGTCTTGTACACTCATTGAATGCCTGACCACATGACCTCCAGTCAATTGATGTCTCTTTTTTTCTTTCCTCCCTGATCTCCCTCTAAAATCAGTAAACATATCCTGGAGTGGGGATTACATAAAAAAATAAATAAGTAAATAATTTTTAAAAAGCTTCTCTGGGAGGCACACTATGAAAGTGCCAGCTCTGCACAACACTCTGATGCCCCTGCACAGCTGACCTCAGCAGGACAAGGCTGGCCAAGTAATTCAACAGGTGGGGTTGGGAGGCACTGGCTGTGCTCAAGGTGGGGGAGATTGGCCCCCTTTCCAAAGGCACACAGTCTAGTCACTGTCTAAGTCTGCGTCAAGAGCCTCCTGAGAAAAAGGGGGCCCAGCACAGCAGAGTGGTCTCGTCAGCAGTTGGGGACCAGGCAGTGTATTCCCCAGGCTGGTGCTATAACAACAGGAGTGCTCTTACCTGGGGAGATGTCTGTGTCTTTAGCAGACTCACTTGTCTCCCAGGCAGACTGAACTCCACCGATTTTCACCAGCAGATGCTCATCTATGCAGGTTCCTCTTTCCATCACTGTTGCTCTGTGTTGGGGATCCTTCTGTGGGTTAAGACCCCACGCTCCTGGGGGAAAGGAGTTTCCGTTTCCCTATCTTTTTGTTGAAGTTCTCACTGAGATCATTGAGCATCCTTATTACCAGAGTTTTGACCTCTGCATCAGATACATTGCTTGTCTCCAATTTGTTTAATTCTTTTTTTTGGAGTTCTGTTCTTTCATTTGGGACATGGTTTTTTGTCTCCTCATTTTGGCTGCCTGTTTTGGTAAGCGTGTTTTTATGTAGCAAGTGTCCTGTGTGGCTCAGTGGCACATGCTTTCAGTTCACCTGAGCCAGGCACTCAAGGTGTGTTCCTCGTGTGGGTCCTGTGTGCCCTCCAGTGTAGTTGAGCCTTGATTGCTGTTGGCATGTCAATGGGAGGGAATTGATCCTCAGACTGGCTTGAGGACTGGTTGTGACTATTGCAGAGGAGATACTGTGCAAAGGCTAATCCTGTGGAGCTGGATTCGCTTTCATGGGGTTCTGGTGCCTGCCCAGTCTGCCTTTTGAGTGTGTTGTTTGTGGAAGTGGTGCTCTGGTGGAGCCTGAAGTTGGGCACTGGGTATGTTGGTTCTCAGGCCTCTTGGAAGGTGCAGGCCAAGGTCAGCCACTGCCTGTGCCCTGCTTGGGGGCCTCCTGCTCTGAGCTATAAAGTGACCTGCCGATGGTTGCCCCTTGTGCTGGATTTGGTGGTGCCTGAGAGAGGCCAAGTTTTGAACCAAGTCTGGCTGCCACAAGTGTCTAGCCTGAGGCCACTTATCAAGCAATACAGGGCACATTGAGGCCAAATTCCATATGTTTATGGTTTGTGAGCCTTTAAGTGATTTTAGGAAAGTCTCCTCTATGAGCCAAGACAGGCCATTTGTATAGAAAACCACTGGAAGAGGCTTGCTTGGGCCCACAAGTTGGGTGGGTCAGGGTCTCACGGAATCACCAGGTCAGGGTCGATGGTGTTAGCCAGGGTGATGGATACTCAGATATAGTGCCTGCCTGCACCTGTAGGGGGAGAACTTAGCAAAGGAATAATGGCCTCTGTTAGCACGTCTAAGAGAAAGCTGCACCTCTAGTCCTTGATGTAAAGACAGGCAATTTAGTACCTTCTTGTGTATCCCTGGTGCCTTTTGAGCTGCCAGAGCTCAAAATGAGTGAGCCTGTCAGCAAATAAGTTTGTGCTGGCCCTTTAAGAGGAATGACTGGGACTCCAGAAGCCCTCCATCACAGCCACAATCTCTGCTGATTTTCACAGCCAGAACTTATGGGAACTTCTCTTCCTGGCACTAAAACCCTGGGCTGGAGGACCTGATGGGGGGTTGGGAGCCCTCACTCCTTAAGGGGGAACCTCTGCCCCCAGGATAACCCCTCTGATTTATTTATTTATTTTTTATTTTTATTGATTTCAGAGAGGAAGGGAGAGAGATAGAAACATTAATGATAAGAGAGCATCATTGATCAGCTGCCTCCTGCATGCCCCCTACTGGGGATTGAGCCCGCAACCCAGGCATGTGTCCTGACTGGGAATCAAACCTTGACCTCCTGGTTCCTAGGTCGATGCTCAACCACAGAGCCACACGGGCTGGGCTAGCTTCAGTTGTTTCAAGCTTTATACCTCACACCATAACATCCAGGACAAGAAAGAGCATCTCTTTTCCTTACCATCACACTTAAGAATCAGACTTCACCTTAGAGCAGATACCTAGCCCTGAACCATCACTCTGAGTTCTAGGATAAGTGAGGTCTATATGATGATTTGG